TTCTATAAGTCGAAAGGAGACTGCGACCATACCCGAGGCCACAACATCCTGGTCTTCACATCTTCAATATTTCGTATGTTGGAGTACCTTTCATTTCGTTTGACGAGGCGAGTGGAGGAGATTCATAAGTTGGTTCCACCGGAGGCTGTGAGGGGGCTGACTTTGAGCTGTAACTGTAGATTTGTGCGACCCCCCCCCCAACTTACGAATCACTTCCACTCGCCTCTTCGAACGAAATGAAAGGTACTCCAACATGAATCTATTAAGGTAGTCTTCGAAACCCAGTTTTTATACATACCAATATTAGGTAAGCCAAACATCATCTATTCTTGGCCAATTCAAACTGGGCTCATTTGACGGACATCTTCTGAGACTATAAAATGTTTAACAGTCCCTTACAGGACAGTTAGGACAATATTATTGACTGGCAGAATCATCATTAAAATATAGTCGAATAGCATCTGGCTCTTACTTAGAGTAAAAGCTGATTTAAGCTTAGCGTTCCGTCGGTCGGAACACACTTGATGCAAGATATGAAGACAAAGGCAATGTAGATTATTTTGCAGTAGTGCGTCATGATTTCAGGGGATTTGGCAGATCATACTTCGTATTGCGTCTTTTGTCGATATTGCCATCTCTTCTTCTATCAAAGGATGTTTGGCTGGGTACATTTGTAAAAGTTTCGTCGGCATCTCAGTCTACATCGCTATTGAGCAGCTCTAGCCTTGGCACCGAGTTGCAACTTGTCTTTGTGAAAAGTAGGAAGGGTTTGATAGCATGGCTTTGCTTCGAATGCAAAGTTGTCGGACGAAATGTCTGTCGACGGGGCAGAGTGAATTTCTCGATTTGATGGAATATTGTTTGGTGGTGCGGATGACACTTCATAGTGACGAATCCAAAAACGTCTGAGAACGTAACCAGTCAACATGTTTATGCTGAATGAAGATATTGCATCAGTGGCAGAGCGTACAGTCTTTAGAGTCTCTGTGTAGTCTCGACTGAGGTATGAGAATGAGGCCAAACTAAATCAGGATTAAAATTGCTTTGTTCGAGAATGTCTTAAACCATGGATATTTTATGTCACATATTCTGTGTTGACCTTTGCAGGTGGTCACATTAACAAGAATCTTCGACATAAGCCTTTTTCTTCTAAAAATTCCGACACGTTT